TCCCACTATCATGCTCAGTCCCCACCTGGGTTTCAGCAATTCCTCTTTGTTACATTACCCTTGATCATGCCCTACCAGGCCTCCCACAACCTCCTCACCACCGATTTGGATCACTTGTTGGAACTCAACCATTTCTATTGAAATGTATTATTCTCTCCTTAGGGGCAAAGTGAAACATAAAAACAAACAACCAAAAAACAACAAGCGACAACAAAACAAACGAAGGCAAAACTGTAGAGGACGGTAAGGTCCCCATGCCTTCCCTGGGCCCGTCCCCCAGGCTTAGGTTGGCAGGCAGTTCCTGCTGTGCACGGCTCTCTCTGCTTTCTGGCCAACAGTTAGTCCTCCAGACTTCCTTATGCAAAGATCTAGCTTCCGGCTGGCACTCAGGACATGTTTCCAAACTCAGTTATGTTGGTTTTGTGGTTTCTTTCTGTTTTGTCTTTCAAAATAGCTCCCCCAGTTGAGCACAGAGGTATAGTAGAGGGTTGCTTGTTGGTGTATGGGGCTATGCTGTGGTTGGGTGGCAAGGGCATCCAAGGCAGTTGTGGGTGGAGGGATCTGCTTTGTTTCCATATTCCCCAACTCCTTAGTCAAATGGTTCACAGTTTGTCAACGTTTTGGGGTTTGGCATTAGTAAATGAAGGTGACAACGTAGCTTTTGTTGCTCGCAGGTGGGATCGTTTTAAAGTAAGCGAGGTAGGGAAAGCTGTTGGTGATGCTGATGACATTTTCAATACTGTATGATCGTAAGGACGATTCCCTGTTGAAAAGAGCCATATCTAAGAATGAGACATACATACACGTTTGCCAGTCTTTGTGCCTAAACCTGGGCTTCTCTCTGGATTCACTCTCGTCCCCGCCATGGATGAGTAAGCTCTGCTCCGGGAACCGATGTTTGGCTTCTGTGCTGATGCGAAGCCTCTTCAGACCCCAAATAGCCAGGTACTCCTCGGGGAGAGTGTTTGCACTGCACAGAGAGAGCTTGAGGTCCCAGACCAGGGTGAAATTCAGCAGGAGGCCCAGTGCAGATATGTCTGTGAACCAGATGGTGAGATGGCCATGATAGCTGGTCTGCTCTACCGAGTATGGAAGGACGGTTTTACAGCTGCACACCAGGTTGGCCAAGCTGTAGTCACAGTCTTGGATGTCTGCAGGGCAGCTACAGTTCCGAATGGTGTGTTCCTTTGTGAAAATCAGCGTGCTGTTCATCTGAGCCTCTGAGAAGCGGCTGAAGGCAAAGATGCCCAGGGCGATGATCAGAAGGAGGCAGTGCCCAGAGGGTGAGGTCATCTTGGTCTCAGCGGGGGCTGATGTTCTTGTCCTGCCTTCATGAGTCAGTTGAGCCTGACCTGAGAGAAAACATGCAGCTTTGTTATCAGAGACTCTGGCTAGAAACCCGTGGCCTCCAGTAAAGGAGCTCCCTGTACAACCCACCACCACCCGTATGCCAGGGTGCTGTCTTATGGTGGGCTGCGTGTTCATTACTGTGGCGCTGGAAGCTTTGCCATAGGCGTTTAAAATACCAGCAGGGTCACCCAGGGTGGATGGGTTTTAGCAGAAGCTTCCAGACTAATACAGACTAGGAAGAAAGGCCTGGTGACTTACTTCCAAACATTAGCCAATGAAACCTGAGTCACAACAGAATACGGTCTGACTTACATGTCTTAGACCATCAGTTCTCAACCTGTGGGTCGCAACCCCTTTGGGGGGTCAAACGACCCTTTCACGGGGGTCACCCAATTCATAATAGTAGCAATATTACAGTTATGAAGTAGCAGTGAAAATAATTTTATGGTTGGGGGGTGTAGTATTAAATTAAAAAAATAACGTGGAGGGAGGTGAAGGTGGGGGGCCAGCCCCCACCGCTAATACTCCTATTGCTACTACTTCTACTCGGATTCAGTAATGCACAATTGTATGGTTGAGATATATAAGCATTATATTAAAGTCATCAAGAGCATGAGAGATATTACAATAATACAGTCAGACATGTTACATGGCAACATTGCTCACCTCAGCCCAGCTTAGTGGTCCACATGGAGAGAGAGGGAAGGGAAGGAGGGAAAGGGAACAAGGGAGAGGGGGAAGAGAGTCAGGGAGGTCAGAGTCCGAGAAGTCCCTGCCTATATTGCTGACCCATGCCTATATACCTTTTGGGGGCAAGCCAGCCCACTAATTACAGGTAGAGACATATGTCACAGGGAGGGGCTGCACTATAGGTTACACAGTAATGAGGGGATGGTCTAGAGGGTGGTCTCTGGGTTTCCATAGGAACCATTATCAGTAGGGTGCAAACGCCGCCTACAGGAGCCTGTCCATTGTCCCCAGAGGCAGGGAGCAGGCCCACCCCTGTGGAAGGATGAGACAGCAGTCTGGCAACTGATTGCCCTCAGTGGGGGAATGCCTGCGCATCTGACCTCCCCCCACAGGGGGGGTCACCACAACATGAGGAACTGTATTAAAGGGTTTCGGTTTTAGGAAGGTTGAGAACCACTGTCTTAGACTCACCTTCAGCAAGACTAGCTGAAGATGAGTTAGTAAAGTAGGGGACCAACCAGGGCAAAGGAGACCCACGTGAGGTGGATTGACTCCAAAACCCCAAAGATGGGCTCAAGCCCACCAAGATCAGGAAGATGACCCTGGACCAGGGTACGCTCCAGTGTGTGATGCTTGAGTGGGAATCTGGCAGGCCTTGGAGCCCAAGGACAGGGAATGCTCCTTTCTGTGACCCACAGCCAAACCGCTAAACTCGGCTGTCTGAGCACACAACCCTGGTGGTGACACTAAACACGCCAGTCTGTGAGTGAGATCGGGTGCCAGCCAGGAGGCCAACTGCCTCCTATCCCTGGGCAGGGATGTGGAACTTGAGTGAGCACACCCTGAAAACATGCAGTTGCTAGTTGATCAGCCCCGAAAAGCCCCTCACCATGCACATGCCCTCCTCCCCCATAGGCGACTTCCTGGAATTCAGAGACAAACAGTTCTTTGTTGGATTCGGTGACCCAAGTGCTACCTGTTAAACAACATAGCACGAGCGCCAACAGAGCCTTTGGTTAATGGTAAACTTTAAAGCCTAGCTGGACCATTGTATCCCTCCCCCACTGTTCTCTGTTTAGCAGCCCATTCATCCTGTTCCCTGCTCCTCAGAAAACTAAAGTACCAGAGTCGATTGCACGTGTGTTAATATACACTGAAGAGGCCAGTCACGCACTAGCGCAGTCACCTAGGAGAACCAACAAACCCGTCTTAGGAGGAACCGATCCATTTCAGGAGAAAGGCCTGCAGGATGCTCCTTAGCAGCAGGGAGGTCATGACTTTGGCTTGCTTTGGGCACAGCATCAGGAAAGAGAAAGCATTAGGAAAGGACATCATGATCATGAACACGGACGTTTCATAAGGTCGTCAGGGGTTGGAGCCAACTCACTGGCACCCAACCACAGAGACATCAGAACAAATTGTATGTGCCGGTGCTGTTGAACAATGTACTGGAGGGATGGAGGCCAAGCACTATCTAAATGCATGTGCCGCTTCAACACCAGTGTGCAGTCCGGATAGAGATGCGCCCTTGGGGGTGGGGGGAAATAAAGCAGCGTATTGCATGTTGCTGTTATTGTTAGGTGCCGTCGAGTTGATTCTGCATGCAACACAGCCTGGTCCTGGGCCATCTTCACACCTGTCGCTATGTCCCAGCCCATGCTTGCAGGCGTGTAGCATAGGGCCTAGCAGATAACAGGTGTGCAGCCTCCTTTAATGGTGTCATCGCAATAAGATAAGCCATATGGCACAGGGCTCCAGATTTCAGTTTTCTAAAAATGACCAAATGCCCCAAGAATTGAATTACCTGGCGATCGATCCTAAGATGAGAAACCAAGCAATCCCAACCAGTCCAGCTAGATTTACCTGTAAGGAGCTCTGGTGGGCCTGCAGGTTAAGCGCTGGCCGCTAGGGGCAGAGCTAATCGTTCAAACCCCCCCGGTTGCTGGGGGGAGACAGAAGAGGCTGTCTGCTCCTGTAAAGATTTACAGTCTCTTGCAGCGTTTCGAGGACAAAGCTCACAAGGGGGAGGGAAGGCGGGAGAGCGGAGACAGGAGACACAGGGAGGAGGCGGGACAGTACAGTGAGGGGATTGTAATGAAGGAGATGATGCAAGAGGTTTGTGCCTTGTTCACGCCAAACCAGTGGCTTGGTAAAATGTTGTTCAAAAAATGAGTCATGAGCTCTTTAAAGCAAAAAAGCAAGACAAAACGAAAACCAAAACCAAGACTGAAAGTGATTTACAGTCTCAGAAATCCTCTATAGGTTGCTATGAATCTGAATCAACTCAATGGCAGAGCGATGGGCTGTGTGTGTTTCCATCTACCGTGGGTATGGCAGATCCTGGGAATGAGCCTTCTGATGAGGCTGCCCTAGAGCTGTTGAACGGGCCATCTCGGGGAGGTCCAGGAAGGAATTGAAGGAAGGGTCAGGCTGGGGTGGTGTGTGCCAGGCTGGGGCGGGGTGTGTGTGTGTGTGTGTGAGAGAGAGAGAAACAGGTGCCCAAACAGCAGCAAAGAAGCTAGGCAGACATGCAACTCTAAGGTGCCAGGTGAAGCCACAGGATGGGGAAACAAAGCAATGAGAAGCCCAAGGAGGGGAACTGAAAATACCGACAGGCAGGTAGTACTAAAACGCGGAAAATCAGACAGGCAGGAAGTACAGCAGGTAGCTGGAGTGCGGGGAGGATAAAACTAAACTCAGTCGAGTAAACGTGAACAGGAGGTGGGGTGTTGGCTTAAGCAATTGCAATTCCATTTCTGCATTTATTCAGTGAATGCTACAGAGTCAGGAAGTGTCAGGCACGTTGTCATCCCGGGGGATACAGCCCAGAACAAGACAGTCCAGATGGACTTATGTGCTGATGGGCTGGATTCTGTTTCCTGTGGCTTGTGGTGCCCAAGACCTGGCCTGATGTGAGAACCTCCAGGCTACAGCAGTTGGGAAGAGGAGGGAGACTGAGGCAGGCCCTGGCGTAGGCCCCGTGGAGGAAACAAAGATGAACAGGACATGGACCCCATCTTCCAAAGGAGGAAGACAAATATGGGGGAACTGGGAAAGGCAGCAGTGAAAAGACAAAATGTTTTCGGAACGCATCAGAGACACAACTTTTAGTTCCATTGTGGGGGGTGGGGGTTGGAGGTGGTAGATTCTAGAGTTGTGTGTTTATTTTGAAGTTGGCACACGATTCTTTTGAGGGCTATATTAATAGGCACACTTTGTACTCGAAGAAAGGGTTTGGAGCAGCTGGTGGAGCCAGGATTCTCCCTGCACAAGAGAGGTAGCCACTTTAAATAGTGCTGGGGTGTGGTGGTGACGACCCCACTTAGTAAGGAGCAGTGAGTCACTTATTAATTATGAGATAATTTTAGATGATCAACTGTCCCAGATTCCACCAGCAGTTTCTGGGACTGCATGTCCTAGGAAAGGAATCCTGCCACTTCAGACCCAGGAATGTGGTCCTCAGAACCAACAGCCCAGCCTGCCTCCAGCCTGAAAGGGAAAGCAGAGAGAGGTGGTCCACACATGCACGGGGGCATCCTTGCCGTACTCCCATCCCATGCAGAAGCAGGTGTGGAAGACAGACAGGGTGGACAGGGAAAAGGATATGATGTCCCGGAGGACGCGGCCTAGAGTGGGGTTAGAGGTCCTCACAGGGTTTTGTGAGCAGCTTTCTCCTAGGCAAGGACCCTGGCTTGACCTCAGGGCCCTCTGTCTCCTGGGCATCAACATCTGACAGCAAACCAGTGGGGGTTGACTCGATTCTGACTCACGGTGACCCCCTGTGTGTCAGTGTGGAGCTGTGCTCGGCTTGGTTTTTCATAGCTGATGTTTCAGTTTGGATCACCAGGCTTTTCTTCTGAAGCACCTCCCGTTGGATTTGAACCTTCAAACTTCCACTTAGCAGTCAAGCCCATAAACCAGTTACACCACTTCTCAGGGAGGTCCAAAAGTCAGAACCAAGAAGCCAGAGGCAGGCAGCCTAACAAAGAAGGACATCTACTGTGGATGCCATTACAAGATGGCGCCGGACCGCGCCCGCATCGTCAGAGCTAAGCTGTAAACAAGCTTGTTGCGCATGCGCTGCCAGCCGCTCGCTACGCATTATCAAATTGCACCAATCCTGGTAGGACACGTCACCGAGCAGGGTATTTATACCCGGGGTTTTAGGAGCTTGGGGTCTTCCGCAGCTGACCTCGGAGCAAGAGGCAGCTTAAATAAACTTCGCAGATTGCATCTACCAGAAGGGTCCTGACCATTCTTGTCTCGGTCCGTGTTGCGCCGTGTCATCCGCGCGCGACAATCTACTCCTGGC